AGCATCACTCTCTGGGCATGGAGCTTCCTGTTCGACACACCAAAAGATGTAGGTAGGTGGCAGCACCGCTGCTGGCATTCCCATGGGTGGTAGTTCAGACGACCCACAAGCAGGGTGTTCCAGGCTGAGACAGAACCAAATCCACAGGATCCTTGGCTGGTGCCATTGCTAACACTGGCTGCCATCCATGCCCGGTCACTATACCAATTCTAGGCTGATCCCTTGTTGGTGTGAGTGATGCAGCTGCAGATGTGGTAGTGGCTATGCTGCTTCATCATGCCCCGCTGATGCCAGGCTGGGGTTTGGATTTCTCTGCCCTCTAGTCTGCTGAGAGCAAAATGAATTACTCTCTAGTAAATGTGCTTAGGATTCAGATGAGAGTCACAGGCTGAAGAAACAGGTCTTCACTAAATTTGACTGATGCATAAGAGACATTTTAAAGTTTACATTTAAGGTGTATGCAAAAGATTATTTATTGGGCCAACTTCCTCTGCTTTCTCCAGGTGAATTCTAGAACTCAATTTAGTATATTATTTTATGAAGTTATATTAATTTTATATTGTATCTGGTGTTGTTGTTTTAACATGAGCCACTTTTGCCATCTATGTAGATTTAAAGGTGAGATATAAATGCTTTAGATAAATAGGCAAGGGAAAACATAAATGATATTCTCCTGCCATCCATTGCAAGTTTCTGCCAGTCAAAAATTAATGCTTGGTACCCATTGATTTATACCATTTGTAGGCAGATAGTGGACTACCCTTTTCTGTATCACATTTGACAGCTGGGGATTCAAGTGTATTCCCAGAAGGGTAACTGTATGAATACTGTTTCACAAACACAAGCTGTTTTTCAGTGCCCAAGGCTCAAATCTACTTCAAGGTAGTTTGTGGTGATGTGCTGAATTGGGACAGAACATTTATGACTGTTTTGTATGACCACAAGAGCTTGAGGCTTTTTAGTTCATAAAAAGGTGGCTTGAGGGGCACATGGGAGAGAGCAACTAGAGAGAATTGTGTCTCTCTCTCGTAATACGAGAAGTCAGGGTCATCTAGTAAAATGGACTGGAAATAGGTCCAAGACAAACAAAAGAAAGCACTTCACACAACTTAAAGAATCAACAGCATGTGTTGATTGCTGCTAGCTTAGGTAGCTTCTTTAAAAAACAAAAAACCCTAGAAAACTGGATGGAGGCTGCATCTGTCAATAGTTATTGGTCCTGATATTTGACCTTCCATGTACCAAAGCTGTAAACTTGTAAGTATCAGATGCTTGGCATCTGTGGCGTAGTGTGTACATGCGTGTGGGGGGACACAGAGGTGGTTGCCCTGGGTGCAAAATTTCAACACCCAGTGATGCCTCAATACAGCTGTGTGCTTGTGTCACTGGGGTCCATTGAAAATGGCTTCTCTATGTGAACCAGGAAATGACCTCTCCAGACAAGAGAACGACTCTTCTTTTCTAATCTCTGTAGTTGCAATCTCCTGGGGGACACGGAAGCCATTAGATAGTTGAATGTGCATGCATACTCTGTCCATTTCCCTCCCTCCCACCCCCTTCACACAGCCCCGGCACTGGCAACCCATGCTATGCCACTGTTATGGATAAACAATAGGTCAGGGACCTTGTCTTCATGCCAGAGGCATGTAGCTTCCTATTGCTTTGGGGGGGTGCCTAGTTTGTGTCCAAGCAGCTCTAGTCAGATTTCAGCAAAGGGGAGGGACAAGGAGATTTTAATGATGTGGGTGAGATTCACAGCAAGCTCCAGTAGCTCCTGCTCCTGTATATATTGATAACGAGGTGGGATCATGTCCTAGATACACATGCCAATCCTTTTATGTAAGAAAGTGACAGTTTGATAAAGTTGCTGCAGTTACCATGCAATATAAAAATAAAATAGCTAGCTAAATGCTCCTACTTTTCCACAACAAGAAGACATGCTAGAACCATTGAATTGGCTAGAGACATATGTGCTCCTTAGAAATATTCATCATACCAGATTTGAAATGTTGTGAGGAACGTCCATCCCTAAATGTGTATGAAATAGGGCTGCCATACATCCAGAATTTCCAGGATGTAGCCAGGATTTGGCCGTCAGAAACAGTGCCCGGGTGGAAATCGCTTTAACGTCCGGGAAAATAATTTAATAAAAATCTGGACATATGGGAACCCATGTCGGAAGTGTAGATTTTGGCAAATTTCCATAAAAATAGCTCCAAACTTTTCACTTTTTGAAATATGGCAACCCTAGTATGAAAGCTAATTTAGTTGCTTCTTCCTTTTGGCCCACCATTTGTGCTGTCTTACATTTTCAGCTGATATTTCTTTATTTTTCTTGTAAGGTAAAGGTAAAGGGACCTCTGACCATTAGGTCCAGTCATGACCGACTCTGGGGTTGCAGCGCTCATCTCGCTTTATTGGCCGAGGAAGCCGGCGTACAGCTTCCGGGTCATGTGGCCAGATGGACTGAGCCACTTCTGGCGAACCAGAGCAGTGCACGGAAACGTTGTTTACCTTCCTGCTGGAGCGGTACCTATTTATCTACTTGCACTTTGACGTGCTTTCGAACTGCTAGGTTGGCAGGAGCAGGGGAGCTCACCCCGTCATGGGGATTCAAACCGCTGACCTTCTGATCGGCAAGTCCTAGGCTCTGTGGTTTAACCCACAGCGCCACCCGCGTCCCTCTGGTCAATTTTATCTTGTACCTCTGGTCAATTTTATCGCCTTTTTCTGAACCTTCTCCAGTTCTAGTATATCATTTAAAATGTGTTGCAGAAAAGCAGGTAAACCATATACTTTATCAGTTAAGTATTTAGTAGCTGAAGAAGTGCAAGAGAGTAGATAGTACTGCTCTGAGCTCCCTGGGTTTGGCAAAAGTTTTCATTGCTCCTTGCTGTCAGTTGCACAAGCTAATAAAAATGATGTCTCAGGAGAACAAGGAAAATTCTATTCCAGTCCTAGCAGTGCCAAGTATGAAATTCATGACAACATCTAGTCAATTATTGGATAGGCTAAAGGATGATTCTTGTGGTGAGAAAGTGAGAATTTGTTTAAGTTATTCAGAGATATTACTGGTTGTTTATTGAATTTGAGAATATATTAGGATAAACTTGAGAGTTGTGAAAGGGTTTGAAAGATATTTACATAGTTCTGTAGGTTGCTGTTTCTAGAGGTGTTATTTGATTATTTTTAACTGGCCTTTTTGTTTCTTTCTTGCCATATGCTTGAGTTATATTTTAGGTTATCTTCAATGATAAGTGAGCATTTTAATTTTTAATTTATTTTTTTAAAAAATATAATTTATTTATTGATTACATTTATATCCCACCTTTTCCTTCAAGGTGATGCATATGATTCTCCTCTTCCTCATTTTACCTTCGCAACAACCCTGTGAGGTACCGTATTTTTCGCCCTATAAGACGCACTTTTCCCCCTCCAAAAATGAAGGGGAAATGTGTGTGCGTCCTATGGGGCGAATGCAGGCTTTCGCTGAAGCCTGGAGAGCGAGGGGGGTCGGTGCGCACCGACCCCTCTCGCTCTCCAGGCTTCAGGAAGCTATCCGCTAGCCGTGGGAGACCCAGCTCTCCCAGGGCTAGCAGAGAGCTTGCCTGCACCCAGAAGCTTGGGGCGCGCTGAGCTCCACACGCCCCAAGCCTCAGGATTAGCGCAGCGGTCTGCTAGCCCTGGGAGAGCCGCGCGGCTCTCCCACGGCTAGCGGAGAGCTTGCCGGCACCCAGAAGCTTGGGGCGCGCTGAGCTCCGCACGCCCCAAGCTTCGGGATTAGCGCAGCGCACCTGGGGGGGGAAATAATTCCCCCCCTTTATTTCCCCCCCAAAAAACTAGGTGCGTCCTATGAGCCGGTGCGTCCTATGGGGCGAAAAATACGGTAGGTTAGGCTTAGAGGCAGTGACTGGCACAAGATCACCCAGTGAGCTTCTGCAATGCCTTGCTTTCTAATGAGAAAAATTGGAACATCATTTTTCATTTTGCAAAATGCCAAAAATTGGGAGTTACATCAAACTTCTTGATTTTTGGAGGTACAGTGAGCTTTTTATTTTTTTCCAGCACTGTACTTATTTTAAGTGGCTCAAGCAATTCCAAATAATATCATTTTATTCAGGCTTCTTCTTCTTTTTTTAAAGTCTTACATGTACACAAGTTATAGACAAAATAAAAATAAAAATATTGTTTAAAGCAATTTGATGCTTCAACAGAATGTCAAACAGGTGTGACTGTGACCATGGGCATAGCCAGGATTTATTGGGGGGAGAGGGCAGGCTTTATGTTGGGGGGGGGGCAGAACTGAGTTATCTGCAGGGCAATTGGTCAGTTAAGTATTTTTATTTATGTATTTGATTTGGTGGGGGCAGCTAGCCCCCTGCTTCCCCCCCCCGCCCTGGCTACGCCCATGCTTGTGACTTTAGGATAAAAGTAAATTGGAGCTCACCGCATCTTTTGTAATATATATGCCTCGGAAAGATACACCTGCAAAGGAACTTTTACTATTGTCAAGGAACAACCCGAAAATGTACAGAGAAAGAGATGCATTGTTCTAACCAGCACTACAGTAAAAATAAAATAAAAATATGTTGGCGTGTTTTCAGTTAAGTTGGGAAGTTGGCATGTTTCCCCCCCAATTGAGGATAATTAAACGAATTTTGGTTCATTTTGACAACCCCCCCCCCCGCCCATATTAAATTATGAAGATCACGGTGATCTCATCGCCTTATCTAATCTATCACCCAGTAATTTTCAATACAGCAGCTGCCCTATTTCTGAAGCTGGGCCAAGGCTATTTCCTCTGTGCCGCCCCCGTAGCTCTGCCTGTTGCGGGGGGCGGCGGCGGGTCTTCGTGCCAGGCGGCAGCTCGCGCGGCTGAACGCCATCACGTCTGTTGCCGCGGCAACCCCGGCGCTCTCGGCCCCTCCCACCACCTTTGCTTCCAACTCCTTCGTATTTAAAAGGCGCCTGACGCGATATGAGCCGGCCGACGGCCCGTCGCCGCAATGCATTCTGGGCCTCGGCAAAATGGCTGCCTCCTTGGTGCGCTGCTGCTGAGGGGAGTTGGGCTGTCCGGCAACCCGGGACGTTTTACTTTTAAGCTTCACGAACCCCGCTGTCTTGGGGACTTTTCTTCACGCGAAGAGGAGCCATCAGCTGTCCCGAGACGGGGGACACGATGGGACCAAGTGGGCGCCCGTCGCGGCAGCCGGGCACAGGGCAAGTACCTCCACGGGGGTAGGACGTTCCTTCTCGGCCACCGGAGACCATAAGCTCTCGGAAACAGGCCCAGTCCCTACTCCTGAGCCCGACTGCACCGCCAAGGGCTGGACTTTGTCGTGAGTGAGCCCCCTTTGCCCTGCATCCTCTCCGAGGACAGGGATAGCCGCGCCTGGAGCAGAGGCGACTTCGGCTAAAGCTGCAAGCTCCATCTTTGCTTCCTATTATTTTGTCTGTAATAGGACAGACATCCCGACCCCACGTTCTTAAGGTACAGGGTACCACGTTGTAAGCCTATCCCGCTCTGACGGTTCCCTTCTGGCAAGAATCCTGTGCTAGTAATCTCCATATTTGAATCCAAATTAGACCTGCTGAAACTCTGTACATCCCCCTGCAAATGTTGCCTTAACGAGGACTTAGATGAACAGCAGTTCCCATAAAGAACTTCCACTGTTGCTAGAGATAAAAAAGGTTCCTAATCTGATTCTCCACCCTGGATAAGAACTTTTGTCACTCAACGTCTCTTACATTGCCTGCAGTCTTTTTGTGTGGTATAAGGTGTCACCTTTAACCTAAACAAGACTACCAAACATCCTGCAACTATAGTAGTATTTGCATCTTGCCCATTGATTTACAATGTTTAGATCACTTGGCTAGATTCCCAATCTTACGTCACATTCTTCTACTGAAAATAGTTCTATGCCCATCTTCTAAAACTTTATTCTGAATGAATATTCATTGATATCATTTCTGCTGGGTTATGTCATAATTTCTGTTGCAACCAAGAACCACATATCTCCCTAATTCTGAGATAACGGTGACAGTGAACTATATCTTATTCCTGAAGAAGGCAACAACAACAACAAAGGATTTACATACATATCTCTGACCCATGAAGCTAGAGGGTGATAATCCATTTGCTATCAGATACTGTTAGTTGTCCCTGGTTTAGGGGTTGCAGCACTCCTTAAATTTTCTCAACCCAGACAGGAAACCCCCAGTTGCTGAGCAGGGAATATTGCAACACTCTCTGGAACAGTAGCACTTGCAAATCCACTTTGAACACAGCTCCTTCCCTGCAAACAGCTCCTTCCCAGGAAACATCTTCTGGGAACAAGACTTGCCAGATTCCTTTGTCCTTCCAACTACTTTTTTCTGGACATTGTGTTGGAGTGGAGGTTTCTGATCCCTGGTTACATTAGTTCCTTTTCTTCTGATGGAGTCTGACATGCTGCAGTCCCCCCTCCTAGGGCTTGGGGAGGAAGATGAATCGGACATGACTGACTGGAATCTGCCCTTGGCCTTCATGAAGAAGAGGCACTGTGAGAAAATTGAGGGCTCCAAGTCACTGGCTCAGAGTTGGCGGATGAAAGACCGGGTAAAGATATATAGTAGCAAATTTTATTTGAAAGGGAGATTCTAATTTTATTCTTTGCTTGCTTGAAGTCTGCACGTTGTCCTTGGGTACACCCCTGGACCATTATAATTTTGTTTAGCTTTGAATACTTATTAAATTGGTACAGTCATGTTGATAAATTATGCATTTGGTTTAATAATGCTTTAAATTGTTTGTCATTTGTCTATAGTCTTATGCATAAAAGAAACATAGCTAGCTGTCTTGGGGGGATTTCACCTAACAAAAATTGTCAGTGGAAGCCCCCTGAAATTGGCTCAGGGAGTTCAGAAGAACCCCCAGAATATTGCATGGGGTGGGCATGGGGATTGTTCCATCTGACAAACTGATATAGTTGCACAGACAGGATATTCAGCGTAGTGTGACACTGAATTCCACCCTTGGTCCCTTAGAAAAAGCTCCACAGTTGGGTAATAATCAGGTTACACAGAACTGTTTATTTAAATAATTAAAAATGTTGGAATCTAAAAAATAAAAGATAGAAATAAGATGTAGTGATAGTGAGAAGGTAGATTTTTTTCTATGAGAAAATTAAAATAAAAAGGCCTTACATGACCCACCTATTTAACGACATCATAAAAGGGACCCCTATCCCCAAAACCTTGACCTCTTCCAAAATAGTTTCTATCCCTAAACCTCTCAAAGATAGCCTCAAAATAGAATCATACCACCCAATTTCATTGATAAACCAAGACTACAAGATATTCACATCAATCCTAGCTAACCGCCTAAAAATCTTTCTGCACAAACTAATCACCCTGGACCAGGCAGGCTTTGTCCCTGGTTGCAACATAACAGACCCTGTTAGGAAACCACTGAATCTGATGGAACACAGCAAAATGATCATGTCCCTAGACATCCTTAAAGCTTTTGATTGCTTAGAATGGAAATATCTGTTAGCAGTATTAACTAACATGAAATTTAGCCCCAACTTCCTACAAACCCTCAAACAAATTTGCTCCCAAGCCTTAGCAAAATGTAGAATTAACAATGTGGACTCCAATACCATAGCAATCCAAAGAGGCACAAAAAACGGATACCCACTGTCCCTATTCATCTTGGCAATCTGACTCCAAGCAGCCCCAGATATCAAGAGTGTGGAAATAAAAGGTAAAACCTACAAACTAGGGCTCTCTGCAGATGCCCTGATGGTCACAACACCAGACCCCATAACACAGCAACCACCCTAATTAAAGAACTCAACACATTCTCATTGGTGTCAGGCCTACAAGTAAACTTTGCAAAATCTGAGGCTATGTGCTTCAACACCCCACCCCACCACGCACACTCAAAAGGAATTCACCAGAATCACAAAGATAAAACACTGCTGCACCAAATTCAGTTACCTAAGGGTTCAAATAACCAGAAACCTCAACAAACTATACCTCCATAATTACAAGTCCCTGTGGTGACAAATCAACAGAGACTTGAGGAAATAGAACAACACCAACTTCACCCTTTCAGACAAAATAGCCATGATCCAAATGATCACCCTCCCAAAACTAGCCTATTTATTCCAAATTCTCCCAATCTGGATTCCCCCAAACCAACTCCAGAAGTGGCAGAAAAAACTATACTTGTTTATTTTCTCACACAAAAAGCCAAGAATAAGCCCCCAATACCTGCACCTCCCTTCAGAAGGAGAATGGGGTGAACCCCCAACATAGAATCATGTTACATTGCCAACCAAGTACGCCACATAATCCTGTTTATTCTAGGAGATGAGACGAAACAATGGGTCCATTTGTAATAAAACGAATAGAAAGAGAAACTAGCCAGTTGACGCTGACATGAAACCCCATACAAAATAATATAAGCCTCATCACCCCACCCCCGCTCTCCCCCCAACCTTATACCATACTCAACACTAATGTCTCACAACAAATGTAACTGATTTGTAAGAGAGACTGTGCAACCTGAAAAAAGAGACAGTGCATGTACTTTTGTAAACCAAGAAAATCTTTAATAAAAATAAATAAATAAAAACCTGAGGAGTTCATTCAGCATTAAAGATTGCTCAGATGACTAGTTAATGATAAAGTTACGTTTTCGCTATTTATCTGAAAAGTATAGATTAAGCTATGGGTTCCAAAGCAATAAGAAATCATTGTCATTTTTATGCTACCTGAGCACTTGTTTCATTTATGAAGCACAATTTTAGTAAGCAGATTATTGTAAGATCATTTCATTCTTTGGGTAAAATTGAGGGTACATTTCAAGTTTTGCTTAAGCTTACAAACGGAATCTATAGTGTGGGAAATATTTTTGTAATACAGTATAAGAAGATAAAAGCAAACAAAATTTCTTTGTAGCATCAACCTGCCAGCCCAAAGAAATCTTGTTGACATTGGAACTTTGCAGCTTGGAACATGCTATCTTTATTTTGGGATGTGTGGTGGGTTGTTTTGTTAGAATTTAGGTGACATCAGTGTGAATTGAGTCCACAGATGCAGTTTACTGCTGCTTATTTTTGCATATCTTGACTACTAGCTTGCTTCTCTGTGGATTACAGCTAATTCATTTCTGACTTTTAATTGGCATAAAGAGCCTATGATTAGGAAGATTCCCTGTATTTAGTTGTTTTGTTTTATTTCCATTGCTCTTTTATATTTCAGTACAGTATTTATTTATTTTTAAAATATTACTTTAGTCAGTCATGGGTAGATTCATGGATACAAATGCTTAGAGCTGGAGTAGAACTTTGAGTTGATTCTTGAAAACTTTGTTTCTCCTATGTTTATATCTCTGCCACTCATGTAATTGTAGCATTGTAGTTTTTTGTTGAGGAAGGGTCACAACCTAGAGCTATTATATAATGGGACACATTGAAACCTATATAAGCTTTGATTTAGGAATTCTCTCTAGCCTTTAGGTTATACATGAGCTACATTTATCTTTTAGTGAAATAATATAAGACCCTGGTTATACTATTGGAATAGTTATGGGGTAATTTTATATTATGCTCTTATGCAAGATCAAATAATCTGAGTATTTTTTTTTTTTATAAAATTTTTATTGGTTTTAGAAACTTTTTAAACAAAAAACAAACAAACACCAAAAATAACAAACATACACATATAGTTTCAAACATATTTTCATAAACTTCTTTCCTTTGACTTCCCCATACCCCCCCTCTCTGCATCCCAGTGTCCAAAGTTCAACTAGCAACTCCCAATTGTTATTTTCCAATCTCTATCTTCTTAGTCCTTTTTTAAATTTCTAACCTTATATCCCTGTATCCCTTTGTTTCTGAAAACCGCAACATTTTAGCATTCATTAAGTTTATAGTAGTCCTTAAGATAACTTTTAAATTTTCTCCATTCTTCTTCCACCGTCTCTTTTCGTTGGTCACGGATTCTGCCTGTCATCTCGGCCAATGTCATATAGTCCATCACTTTCATCTGCCATTCTTCCAAAGTGGGTAGATCTTGGGTCTTCCAATACTTTGCGATGAGTATTCTTGCTGCTGTTGTAGCATACATAAAGAAAGTTCTATCCCTCTTTGTCACCAATTGGCCGACAATGCCCAAGAGAAAGGCCTCTGGTTTTTTCGAGAAGGTACATTTGAGTACCTTTTTGATTTCATTATAGATCATTTCCCAGAAGGCCTTAATCTTCGGGCATGTCCACCAAAGGTGGTAGAAGGTACCTTCAGTCTCTTTACACTTCCAACATTTGTTATCGGGCAGATGATAAATTTTTGCCAGCTTGACTGGGGTCATGTACCACCTGTAAATCATTTTCATTATGTTTTCTCTTAAGGCATTACATGCCGTAAACTTAACACCGGTGGTCCATAACTGTTCCCAGTCGGCAAACATAATGTTATGACCAATGTCTTGTGCCCATTTAATCATGGCTGATTTCACCGTTTCATCCTGTGTATTCCATTTCAGCAACAAATTATACATTCTTGACAAATTCTTAGTGTTGGGTTCTAACAGTTCAATTTCTAGTTTCGATTTATCCACTTGAAAGCCAATTTTCCTGTCCTGTTTAAAAAGCTCCATTACTTGGTAGTATTGAAGCCAGTTTTGTACTTTATCCTTCAATTTGTCATAACTTTGTAATTTCCACTTATCTCCATCCTGTTCCAAAATTTCCCAATACTTCGGCCATCCGACCTCCATATTGAGTTTCTTTACAAATAATCTGAGTATTGAGCTAGTTCAGGGGTCGGCAAAGTTTTTGTGGCTTGGGCTGGTTCACAGTCCCGCAGACGCCGTGGTGGGCTGGAGTGTGCACGCATGCATGCGCAAACGCTATTTCTGGTGCTCCTTCTGGCGTGGAGGAGGCGTGTGCAGCTTCCCATTGGCTGCAGGAGCTTCCTGCAGCCAATGGGAAGCCAGTCAGCGTTGCAGAAGGCGATCCCTGCTCTGCTCCGCGCCGGTTTAGCGTGGCGCACGGAAGCCGACCGAGTGGGTGGCAGGGGTCCATGGACCCGTTAAATCACCCCCATGGGGCGCTTGTGGCCCATGGGTCTTAGGTTGCCGACCCCTGCGATAGTTGATACATTTGGTTTTAAAAAATAAACTATATCCTATTTTCAATTTGGAATATAATCCAGAGTTTATATAGCACCAATTTTGAAGACACTGTTTTTAATTTACTACTGCCAATAATAATTTTAAAATGTTTAATGACACCACTGTTGGTGCTCTGCAGAGAGGACAGAATCTAGGTTCTGGGGTTATATCATAAGAGGTTTTGGATCAAGTGGATCCAAAACTCTCCAATTCCTTTGGCACACAGCCTTGATGGGGGAGACGAATGCTGGCCTTTGTTGTACTGCTTCCCCTTCTTGGCAGCTCTCTTGATTGGGTGGATCTATGGCCACAGATTTTCCTTTCCCGCCCCTCATTAGATTAATCCTCCCATATGTAATTCTGCATATATAATATGTAATAGATTCTGAGTAAGCCTGTTAGCGATCCAGTGATAATGCTGTAACAGTAACCTCATGA